CTCCTTCCAGGACAGCTCTCTGGGAAGGGCGGCTTTCCCAAGAGCCCCATCCCGGAATGTGCAGCGTAACTGTGGTGATCATGCTCCTGGAGAAGGCTGGAACAGGGGATGGAACCCAGGAACAGGGGATGGAACCCAGGAACAGGGGATGGAACCCAGGAACAGGGGATGGAACCCAGGAACACGGGATGGAACCCAGGAACACGGGATGGAACCCGGGAACACCCAGAGAGCTCTGCAAACACCAGGTCTGGAAAGGATCCCCATCAGCCCAGCCGAGCACAGCAAGGCCAAATGGAAGATCTGCCGAGCACCTCTTGGGCTCCAGCATCTCCTGGGCTCCAGCTGGAATTCCCAGACTGGCCCAGTCAACCCAGTTAAGCCCTGGGGAGCACAGGCCTCTGGCAGTCCCCTCCCAGGGAGGAAGAGCCAGCCGGCCCCGGACACAATAAATCAGCTATCAATAAACCCGAGTTCAGGACCAAAATCCCACTCTGGGAGCAGCTTCCCAAGCTGTGCCACACCCAGCCTCCAGACTTATCCCAGCAGGCTGTCCTGGGGATCCCTGGAACCATCCCAGATCCATCCTCTTCCCAGATTTCCTTCGTTTCCTCGCACAAACCCCGTCCCAGGGAAGGGGAGAGATGCGGACAAGCGGCACCTGTTGGGATCAGCCAACCTGGACACCTCGCTGGCATGGGGAAAATGGGAATTTCAGGAGGTTCCTGGCAGGATCAGAGGCACCAAGGGTGAGTCTGTGTCAGTGCTGACCATGCTGCTGGGCACCAGGACAGCCAGACAAGCCTTGGGAATGAGGGACAGCCGAGGATTCGCTCCTCTGCCCTCCCTCCATCTCTGTCCCTGGGGATCCCCCTGCCCCTCCTGTCCCATGGCTGCTCTTCCCAGAGCTTGTTTTCCATCAGATAACAACGGCTCCTTCTCCTGCTCATCGCTGCTGTCATGTTGACAGCATTTAGAGCTCTGATCATATCAGTGCTTGCTTCTCCTCTCAGTCTCTCACCAGGCACCTTATCAGCTCTGCTTATCATTCCGTGCACTTCTTGGTATTTTTCCTGAGGGTTCTTCCAGCACCATTCCTTCCTCCTGAGCAGTGTTACACAGCTCCTCTCAGCTGGAGGAAAAGCTCCAGTGTTTACCTGCAATGCAGCCCTTGTCAGGCTCTGATCTCCTTAGAGCTAATCAGCTCACACAGCCCGGCTGGCACCGGGATGAGAATCCTGCCTGGAAACCTCGGCAGGACGCGGCCGTGCCAGGGCTTCAGCGGGAATGAGAGCCTGGAACAGGGAAAACAAGAGCCAGGCTCCAGTGATCTCATTCCCAAACGAAGCCATCTGATCTCAGGCTGCAGCGGGAAGTGCTTTGCTTTGCTCCACACAAGCCCTTGGCGTCCCTCAAGAGCTCACTGTGGATATTCCTGCCCTCTCCCAAGGGAAAAGTCCCTCTGGACACCGTGTGCAGGCAGGCCCAGCTCCCAGAGTAAGCTCAGGGTGAACTGCACCCACTCACTGCCCAAAAATCAGGTTTTTTACAGGGTGAGCGTGGCAGGGACAGCACCAGGGGTCACTCCACAGCCCCTCCAGTCCTTGATCTCTGCTGAGCTCCCATTCCTGGAGGGATTTAAAGCCATGCAGCGCTGAGGAATGGCTGGATTGCAGATCTTGGAGAGCTTTTCCTACCTGCAGGATTCTCAGACTCTGGGAAGAACTGCCCTGGTCACCTGCACAGCCTAAGGGAGCTCTGGATCTGGCACTGTGTCCGAAGGAGGAGCTCGCGGATGAGGAAGGCTCTGCAGGGGACAGATTTGGAGGTCACAGTTTTGGGTTTGTTCAGCTGGAGGAGACTGAGGGGAGCCATCCCAGCCTGGAGCTCCTCCTGAGGGACAGCTCCAGCTCCCTGGGACAGGGACAGAACCTGAGGAATGCTGGAGCTGTGCCATGGAATTTTAGGCTGGATCTCAGGGCAAGGCTCTTCCCCCAGAGGGTGCTGGCACTGCCCAGGCTCCCCAGGGAATGGGCACATTCCCAAAAGCTCCAGGAGCATCCAGGGATGCCCAGGGTGGGGGTTTTGGGGTGTCTGTGCAGGGCCAGGGGCTGGGCTGGATGATCCCTCTCACTCAGGATATTCTATGATTTTACACCATCCCTTCTCTGAAACCTGGACTAAGGATTTTCTTCCTCTCAACAGCCACTCCCTGCTGGAAAACTGCATCCTAAACCACGATATTTTCACTTCCATGGGAAGCAATAGATTTTTTTTTTACATTCCTGCATGGCACTACCCCAAGTGGCTCCTGAAATCCAAGTGCACTGCTCCCAAATCCACAACTCAGTGACAGCAGCAGGATCCGAGGCCCAGGCTACTGAACTGGCTCCAGGAGTTTTGCTGGAGTCACACCCAACCAGACACATTTGTCATCTGGATTTCCTACTCCCCATGGATCCCTGGAATGATTCACCAACCTCTCCTGGCCACTTCCAGCTCTTACAACCGTGGGCTTCACACATCCCAGAGTTCTTTAGTTAATGACAGGTCTGTGTCCTGTGGTTTCCCTTTCCATCTTTTCCCAATTAGAAAGCTCTGAAGGCTTCTGAGAGAAGAATTATTCCCTTCCTAAAACAATCCAGACTCCTGCTGTGGCCAGCAGGGACGGCCCCACTCTCCTCTCCTGCCTGTGTCCCCTGTGTCACCACCCACTCGTGCAGCTGGAGACTGCCAGCAGAGCAGATTTCCACCTTTAATTGGATCCCCAGCTTCCATGAGGATCCCATAAAACCCTTTCCTGTGAGTGGGAACTGCAGCTGAAGCAGCCTCACCTTGTGCCCCACTGCTCTGCATCCTCATTTCCATCCTCATTTCCATCCTCATTTCCATCCTCATCCCCATCCCTGGCTGGCTCCTACCAAACACAACCCAGATTAAAAATAATCATAAAACACAATCCAGATTAAAAATAATCATAAAACACAATCCAAAATTCAAATAATCATAAAATACAATCCAAATTAAAAATAACCATTTCTGCCCAGGCTCCTTTGCCCCCCTGGCCGAGCACCCAGGTGAGCTCCGCAGTTTTGTCCCTTCCACAGCCTTGGGAAATCAATCCCACCTTCCTCACTTGCAACTTTCCACTACCTCACGGTGTTTCCAGGCCTGGGGAGGGGGGAAAAGCCGAGCTGTGGCAAATCCTCCTGCCTGGAGAGGCTGTAGGAAAGCGGAGCACGCCGCTTCCGACTCCTCAGCAACACCTCCCAGCACAAACCTGGAGGAAGCACAGCTGGATCCTGCACGGGCTCCTGCTGCCTGCAAGGGCTCTTGTCCAACCCCATCCTGGCTCCAGGAACACGGGATTTCGCTTTTTCCCCCCCGAATTCCAAAGTTATTCGTGTCTGCTGCTCCGTGCCAAACCATCCAGGTAAGGTTTCCATTCTGTTTGCTCTGGGTTGGCAGGATAGAGCTGGGCCTTAAATTAATCACAGTAGCAGATGGAAAACTGGGGGGAGTACAAGCAGATCTCCAAAATATTAAATTGCTGCAGAGTTAAAAATAAAACCAGAGTGCAACAAGGAAATTTATGTATTTTTAACCTCTGAAACAAAGCCCAGCTCCACCCAAAGTGGCGGAGCCTCCGATTCCAGGTTTTGGCACTAAAAATCTCATTTATGGACTGATCTGCGGGACTTGGGCACCACCACCACAGCTTGGCTTTGTCCTTGGTCTCAAACACATCCCTTGGGGTTGTCCTGCTGTCCCCTTCCATGTAAAAAGGGCGCTGAGGGAGCTGCTGGGGTGGTGGCCCCAGGTCCTGGGGACAAAGAGCTCCTGCATTATCCAGGGAAAACGCTGAACTCATCCCGAGCGGGATAAAGCACCCAGCTGGAAAAGGAAGCAGCAGCAGATGCCTCCAGGTGCCACCTGCAGCCCAGGTCACACCAGCACCAGCGCCTGCTGCGCTTTTTCCAACTTATTCCTCGCTCTCCTGAAGATGAAAAG